AAGATTTCCTTACACGGATATAGGAATGGAGTCTGGGATCTAGTGTTGGAAACTTATCGTCTAACACGTATCCGTTTAACCCGGGCTCGGTGCCTGAAGACGAATGAGTGCTATTCAGCAGAGCAGAAGGGGATGTATCCAACCTCCAAAGGGTGCATCCCGTGCATCTCAGGGTTCACCCCCTCTTCTCTCTCTGTGACTCTGAGTATCCATCCATCTTGCAAACACCACCCATAACTCCTCTCTCTCTCTCTCTCTAGAACAAGCTCCCCAATAGAAAATGGGAGCATGCTTCAATGGCAAAAAGATAATGTTTAAAGCCCCTGAAGTCACAAGCTACACGCCGAAGACCAAGTGGGTTTTAATGAAGTCACTGTCACTTGTATTTTAAGTATTCAACAATCTAAACAAAAGAACAATGACAAGCTGGATTAGTGTTTGATAAATGATAATGACATCCCTAATGCTGCTTCAAGCTTGACTGGTGGCGTGCTTCCTTGGAAGCGGTTGAGCTCTAGAAGGACAGTGTAAGCTCAAAATTCAGAATAGCATACTGTGCGTCTCTTCCGTTGCTCAAAACATCCGTTTAGCCAATTCTTTAGTCTAAAATTATTTCAATATTTGAATTTTGAGTTTGGTGACACTTAGATGGACGGTCTCTATTCAAACTTGACGCATTATATTTTTCTATGACACATATTATTTCAGAATTTTTTTTACTGAGGTTATTTTTTGGGTGGTAGAGTCTACATCCCCAGAATTTGAAATCTAAAAAATATCTTTAGCATGTGTTTTAACAGAGGGAGTAGTACACTCCCGCAGGAGTAGGAAATCTTTTGGAAATACGAATTTCAATTGACATATCAAAATAAGTGGGACAAACTAGTCACCCATCAAACTTGTTATGTAATAGCTGGCAGGAAAAAAAGAAAAGAAAAAAAAGAAATTAAGATAACCAGTGGGATAAACTAGTCACCCATCGACCCGAGGCTACACGTCACCTGTTGAGCATTAAAAGTCGGATCGGTACCCACCGCTTCTGAGCCGGTTGAAAATGGGTTATGTTAGGGTGCTCACATTATGAAATAATTTATCATTGTACTCAACATTTTTTGACACTTACATAATTTTGTTTTGTACATGGAACAATTTTTTAATAAATGTATTTTTGGTCATTAATAGGGGTGTGACATCATCGATATAGAAAGTGACATCATCTACATGATCATTAAATGTCGATCCATATGAGTGACATCATATCACATGCGGATGACGTCACACGCCTTATAATGATAAAAAATATATTTATTAAAAAAATGATCCACGTTTGAAACAAGTGTATATAAATGTCCAAAGTTGTTAAGTACAATGATAAGTTAATCCATAGTGTGAGCACCCTAACATAACCTTTTGAAAATTTATACCGAGGTTCCTCCGGTATTATAGTTTGGCCGCTAATATAATGTTGCAAACATCGGATTTTTTTTATTTTTATTATTCCTAAGGCAGTTTGATACCCAAATATTAGAGCAACCTATTTTTAGGTTTGTCCTATGTTGAAAACATCAAAACATCCCATAATTAACTTTTCTTTGAAATATACTAGTTTGATCTCTCAGATTATTGAACCCTCTTTAACCAAAAAAAATCCCATAATTAACTTTTCTTTGAAATATACTAGTTTGATCTCTCAGATTATTGAATCCTCTTTAATCAAAAAAAAAAAATAGAAAAAAGAAAATAAGGAACTCATTCAATATCTCTTAACGATCCTAGCTCTTTTGTCTCGCAAAAGGAACTCGGATTACGTTTACCTCCAAGTTATGAAATTAGACAACTAAGAGGAACTCGATTAATATATCAGTTGTTTACCTCCAAGTTCTAAGATTACTTAAGTTGTATTTTACTTGCTACCTTTTGTTCCTTTGGACTATTATTACTCTTTATTTATTATTTTTTTAAATTTTTCTTCCTTGGGTTTGGTCCTATATCAGAGATATCGGACAAGCCCTTAAAATAAGAACAAAGAAAATATACAATGCGACCATTTATTTTTGGTAAAAAGTGGTCACAATTAATCTTGACCTTTGGATGTGATATTAAATGGCTGCATTTATTTCATTGATCAAACTCAAATTTCAAACACATCTAAGCTATCAGATTTCACATTGAACGATTGTATATAATTGTGACCACTTTATATAAAAGGTAAATGATCTCATTGTATACTACCCAAATATATATATATATATATATATATATATATATATATATATATATAGTACTATATACGTACGTAACTA